TATCTAGTGCCCCCTGCTGCCTTTTCACAGGAAAGGCAAGCGAACGACAGAAGCTTCACTTACTCAATGTTTATTTGCCAAAGCCGAATAGAAAGCTCTATAAATGTGCTAAATTTGAAGTTAGAATCATGTTTATCTTTTCTTGACTCACCCCTTGACTTTTAGATTTTTATTTTGCCTTTGTAAAAATTGTTTTTTTTGCTTAATTATTCTTTTCTCACTTACATTTGATTTCCTTGATTTGTGGCTCTTTTGCTATTTTTCACTTTGGCAAGGCCCGGACTCCAGTGCGTGGCCGAGAGAGTACGGGGTCTCTAGACCTTGGGCATGGACAGGGGGTCGTCCTGCCCATCTCGGGGATCCTCCGCAGGATCCAGGCTGGGCTGTGTATTAAGTAACCGGAGGACAAATCCACATGGAGAGCACGTTGTTGCAGCCAATGAAACCCTGGTGCACGGCTGATTGTCAGGCAGAATTAACCAGTGAGAATGCGCTTTGGGTGACGTGAGCCCGGCCCCCGAATTGGGTCTTAGAACCGAGCTGGCCCGGGCCAGGCGTGGTGAGGAATCCGCTCCACAGCGTACAGTGCCGCGAGAAGAGCCGCCCCGGCCACCCACTATGTCACAGGCAGATGAAAGCAAGCAGCAGGTGGAGCCAACAAGCGACAGCAAGCAGCCACATCAAGCCACCCCCGAAGGCGGTCCCCGGCCAGGAGCAGGACACCCTGGACACGGACCAGAACGGCCAACCTGGCGGAAGGCGGCAGGAGCCCGGAGGACACCGGGCAGGTGCTGTGGAGTTGTGACAGTTGTTGGTGGACTTTGGCGCCGTCCTGGAGTCACCCAGGAAAGAAGATGCGCGACTAGAGGGGCGTGTTTGCTCGCTCCGGGCCCACCTGGGCCCGGGTCTGGGTCCTGAAAGGCCCCCATTCCTTTCCCCAGCCTTCCCTCCGTCCTCCCTTCTTTCCTTCCTCCTGGGTACCAAGTCATTGTCAGAATGAGGTCTCGGCCCTGGGAAGGTAGAGTTCTTTGAATGCGATGTCTGGGCGCCAAGGAAGAAAGGGAAAGAAATGTGGCGGCGAGGTGAGCCTTTTATAAGATGGATTTTAGACAAATTAATTTTCCATTGTGAGCAGTGCCCAGGGATGATGCCAAGGCAGGGTAACGTTGCTTTCCCTCGCCAAAGCCTGGGGATGCTGAGGTCTTGTTCAGCTTTGTTTCTGTCAAGGAATTGAGATCTCAGGAAGACGATAGTGCAGATCTGTGAACATCTTTGATGTAGAATGTATCACTTGGTGTAGACCTTGTTTTGGATAGTGGCTCTGCTTGTAATCCTTCCCTCTTCATAAACTCCATCTAATTTCTAAGCTCACTGCTTCCTTGTAAAACTTGTTCCCATGACTATTACACTACCATTTCAGAAAATTATTCACTGATGAGCTAAATTGGGATACAAGCAGAAAGTACCCCCAAAGACTATTTTGCCAAATTTGGAGAGATTGTTGACTATTGTAAAAATGGATCCCAACACTAGAAATCAAGAGGGCTGGGGCTAAAGATGAAGCCAGGGTGGAGAAGGTAAATTGGGTACTCCAACAAGGGCCCCTGTATATGGGATATGATTCTAAGGGAACATTTCTGGATCATGTTTAGTTGGACTGAGCTACATGTGGCYAAGTACATGGAGGGGTGGGTGCAGAGTTCAAGCACTTGTTCCTGTACAGATTAAATGAGGGAGTGAGAGGTATATGGATTGGAGTGGCCCAGGAAGGAGATAGTAGATATTTAGTACCTATTTATGTCTCTATTTTGGGGGAATGTGCTAAATGCTTCACATATGAGGATTAGAAAAACATCCAAGGATGCTATGAGATAGACATTGAAGTGCTGTTTACAGAGGAAGAAACAGATTCAGAGAGGAGTGTAAGTAAGTAGAAGAGATCACACAGAGAGTATGGGGTGGAACAACCAGAATGCCAACCCTAGCAGCCCAGATCCAGGCAACTGTTTTAATCTCTGCTGCTTTACTCCTGGAGGAAACAAGCCTTAGAACGGGACTTTCATGGCAGGAAGAAGGCTCACAGTTAACAAACTCCAAGGGAGTGAGTACAGATTTATGTGTGTTGGGTAAACTGGATTTCAGGCTTAGAGAATATTGGGAGGACAGACTTGGGTAGAGTATGGTGTCTTTGGAAGGGATGAAATATTTTATGTACCTATGGTAGAATCTTGTGACTCAAAGTGAAGGTAGTAACTCCTGGGCAATGCTCCTAAGAAATGCCAATGAGAATTGGAATGAGAGTCTGCTGGTGTTAATGTTAGAAATGCCAATGAGAATTAAAATCAGTTTCTCCTTTCTCAGAAGGACAACTGTGGTTTGCAGTTCATAATGGTTTTCTACCCATTATTGAATTACTCAGAGTAATGTGATTGAACATATTGTAACCATTAAAATTGAGAGTCCATCTTTCACTTTGCTTGTGGATGAACTGCTGTGTTCTGATTTTTAAGAAATCATTATTGAACATTTGACCATGCTTTCTAAGAGATCAGATAATGAMAATGAAAAAAAATTATAATAACCAACACAAGTAGGACCCCCATCACAGAAATAGAAGGCTAAAAATCTGTGACATTTTAATAATAGATGGAAAGAAACATTTCACTGTATTAGGGAGTTAATTAACCAAAACAGAGCATGCTGCATGTTATGCAGAAAATAATTTGGAAACAGAATGGGGGAAGAAGGAGATTGAATCTCACAAGTCAAGAATGAGAAAGGCAAATATTTCTAAGCCAATTAAAAAATACTTGTTTTCAAATCATGAAATTTGCAGGGAAATGGATGGCACTAGAGCAGATTATGCTTAGTGAAGCTAGCCAATCCCTAAAAAACAAATGCCAAATGTCTTCTTTGATATAATGAGAGCAACTAAGAATAGAGCAGGGAGGAAGAGCAGGAAGAAAA